ATTAGCTGTAGAAGAAACAAACAGTTTTGTGCAAGGATTAAAACCTAATCAAGACATTCTTCATCAAGATTTAGTATCACTCAAGCAAAAGATCGATGATATGCAATATGTTTCATATGATGGAACATTTGTGTGGAAAATTACGAATTTTAGAGAGAAAATGAGTAAGTAAAACAATATATTGACATCGAAAGATAAAATTAGAATACTTTCACAGTACGAGTAATATGTTGGTGAGTCTGTAAGATAAATCGTAAACCTTGTCGAATAATTAAATTTTTCTTTTCTTTTTTGCCTATATGTTTCTTTTGTCTATTTGATTTGCTTGATTTCTAGCTGATGCTCAATCTGAACGACAAACTTCGATTTATTCTCCTCCATTTTATTCATCACCAACTGGCTACAAAATGCGAGCACGTTTGTATTTATATGGCGACGGAAATGCTCGCCGTACACATATTTCACTTTTCTTTGTGCTCATGCGAGGTTTGAATGATGCGATACTCAAATTTCCATTTAATTACAAAGTCATATTCTGTTTGTATGATCAAACTCCTGCACAACGACATATCATCGATTCATTTCGACCAGATATAAGATCGAATAGTTTTCAGCGACCAAGATCCGACATGAACATAGCAAGTGGTATACCAAAGTTTTTTCCATTAGCAATGATTGAACAAGAAGGCAATCCATATGTGAGAGATGATACTATGTTTATCAGAATTCTGATTGATTTTGATGATATGCCTAAAACACTGTTACCCTATGTATTGGGTCTCAATCCAGGTTTACCAACAAACATCCAGCAGATGCTGATTAAGCAAGAGGCCGAAAGAAGAGGTCAACAACAACCTCAGTTACAACTGCAAGCGTCGGTTACATGAGTTCGCCATAGTTCATTATACAAGCAAATCAAATAGTCAAATTATCGCATTTTAAAATTTTTCTGTTCTTTATTGTTATAAATATAACAAATATATTAATTATTATTTTTTTTCTTTTGAAATTGAAGATTATACAAAACTTGCCAGATTTCAGGAGTAAATCAAATTAGGTAATTGCTGGAAAAGAAAAAACATTGTACCACAAAGAATTACTTATATTATGAACCACTATAATAATCAGAATCCAGAATATCTTTAAGTCTTGAGAAATGTAATGCATTGATTTGAATTTTCTTTTGAATAGAAATAATGAAGACATCCCAAAATTTTGGCACAAATCAGTAGCGTAGTAGTGAAAACTTGAATTCAATTTTTAAAGTTAGTTTCAAATGTTCAGTTATTTGTGACACGACACTTGCGCGCACAGACGTTTTCGCGCGTCATACTACTGCGCCGAATTTTATACTGAAAAATAATTTTTGAAGGTAAGGGTGAGTGGGTAAGGCGTGAAGATTCGGGCGACAACACACAGGGTGCGACTCTTGAGTGAGGATAAAGGTGAAGTACACACAATTCGCATCTCTATGAGTGAGGTGAGGGGTGGAAACATATACCCAAAGTAAGCAAGACCTTGCCAACCATGATCAGCTCTTATAGATTGTTAAAGGTCTGCCGTACAGGTTAGTAGAGTTTGGGATATTTACTATATTTTGACAGATCACACAAATAAATCAATCTTTCCTTGAAAAAGCTAAAAGTTTTGAATTATTTTATAGTTCATTTGCCTCATGAACTCCACATAATCACATTAATTAAGGTCATTAGTACGAACAAAAAGATCTTTTGTTTCCATATTGTTGGATCAATGAGTATGAATATAAAAAAGGTGATCGAGATGATAGGGTGATTTAATATTCACAATGATCAAAAGAATTGTAAACTTAACATGTAGTGCTTGTGTGGATGTGAGAGTGTGCGGGTCGGTAAAGAGGATATTCAAGCCCACATTCATGCGCAAACCACACCCATACCACTGGAAAGATTAAAATCGATTGTCGATGGAAATCTGGTTCGAGGGGTGATAATCAAGAATAGTCGGTTAAGTAAATTATTTTCCCGTATGATTTTTTGATTTTAATCAATTTCAACTGGATTTTGTGCGAAAAGTGAGTGATTCGTCGAAAAAAATGGAACTATGACACTGATAATAAAAAATAATCTTGATTTTCTCATGAATATTTTTCACTGAGTAGAGATTTTTCTTATTTTAAAATGATTCAAGTGATAGCAAGTTGTATAAAATAAATTACAGCCAAGTTTAACGAAGAAGTACAGACTGATGGGAGTTTTGATGAGTATGGGGGTGGGTGGGTGTGGGTGTGGACCTGGATATCAGCTAAGAGAAGACTAACACCCATACCCACACCCACGCCTATAGATACACCCGCACCCATACCCATACCCACGCACCCACCCTCACCCACACCCTGAAACAGTCGATTGTTCTTGTTTCTCTGAAGATTCATTAACAAGTGTTTTTAATATTGAACATTGAAAAGCGATTGTTGAATTTTTTTAATCAAGATTTCTATGTAAAATTTTTTCAAATAATTGAGAAGAATTTATACTTTTTTGATTAAAAGTTGACAATGCTTAAGAATAAAATCAAATATCCAATGTGGATACAATGTAAATAATGATGATTTTAAAAAATAATTCATTCGTAGAATAAAATAAAATTTTTTCTTCTAGAATTGTTTCAATATCTTTATTTAATATTTTTAATATAACATCTATTAGATACTTTTCTTCAAAGTTAGTTAATAATGGTTGACCATTAGCTAAAATAATTTTCATCGGATTAATATCAATTTTATTTTCATCAGAATCAATAGATAATGGTTCATATTTTGTTTCAATATCATCAATAATATTTGATTGAGTAACTTTGATGGATGACGATAATATCCGGTGACGGTTGGTGAATAGAAATTTTCTTTGTTGTAACTTTTCTAGTACGTATTGACATTGTTTCTATCTATGTAGAATGAAGAATTGTTATGCATACTGTTTAGTCTGTATTGATTTCAATTTTCGATGGAACTTATATTAACTTGTCATTGGTTTTTATTTCATATCAGTAAATGACTTGTAAAACATAGCAATAGTTTGTCAGTAATGCATGATCTTTTCATTTTTGTTTTTTTTTTCTGTTCTTCTGCTTCGAATATATTAAATGCCGTGCTATCTTTCGTTTAAATCAATCGAATGCATCAGCAATCAAAATTGGACAATAAACATGATCGAGAAGTGATATTTGTTTCGAAAATAACGGGTGCCCGATAATAAATGGCCGCATTTTGGATGTTATATTTTAATTACTAAATATGCTTTATTAAAAAAGCAAAATACGCCACTAGATGCAGCGTGAAGAGCTCTACAATTTACACAGGACCGTCAATTTTACAGTTGTCATTTTTTGTGTTCAAAATCGGCAAAATTCTGAACGATCAAGTTTCAACGCTGCGAAAAGTGCTCCACAGAATTTTGCTATTTTTTTAAACAAAAAGTACACAATTAAAATAAACTGTTCTTTGTAAATTGTACAGCCTCTCACGCTGCATCATGTGGTATATTGTATTTTTTTTAAGAAAGCGAACTAGGTGATAAAAAGATGAAATACGAAAAAAGGAATTTCTCGTCTGTTTAGAATTTTCGCAGCCTGAAGAATTGGTGGCTCAGAATTTTGCTTTTTTCGAAAACAAAAGATGCATAGATAAAAACAATTGTTGTTTATAAATTGTAGAGCTTTTCATGCTGCATCTTATGGTGTATTTCGTTTTTTTGAATAAAACATACCAGTTGGTAAATAAGAAAAACATACATTCGTCTTTGACCGGAACAACACTTTTTCGCAGTGTGGAAATTTAGTCGCTCAGAAGTTTGTCGATTTTGGACACAAAAATTACAACTGTAAAATTGACGGTCCTGTGTAAATTATAGAGCTCTTCACGCTGCATCTAATGACGTATTTTGCTTTTTTAATAAAGCATATTTAGTAATTAAAATATAACATGCAAAGTGCGGCCATTTATTATGGGGCACCCGTTAGTTATCGAACAGATTGATTTCTGGAAACGAAATTTACAATTATAGATTGAATTTGGCTATGAATATAAATTAAAATGTTTTTTGAATTTATTATTTATCTAAGAATAATTGAAACTTAAATTGAGTATCGATCTTGGTTGAATGTATTTTTTTTATCTTCTGATGCATACTAATTTATTTCTTTTTTTTATAATATATTTTATACTAAAAACAAATTTTTAATTTTTTTCAAATCTATAGTCAATAGAAAATAGTCTATTGAAGAAAAGTCGAAGAAAATCAAGAGAGATTTCTATATATTTAATCTTTTGTTTGTTGTGATATTGTGTGATATCAAGAATATGTTTATCTAATGAAAAGAATAATTATTGATTGCTTTGCAGACAGAATAGTAAACAACATCTAGACACAAACGAAATCATTGGAAAAAACAAAAACTCTTGTCGCAAAAAACTACGACACATGATCAAATAAATTACGCTTCATTGACTCTGACTGACGAAATCAAGTATTGAAAAGGTTTTTTTTTCATTAAAATCGTGACTATGTAATGAAAAGGAACAGGCGCAATATTTTTTTGTTATGTGCGTATTTCTATATTGAAACGTGGTCATGGTTTATACAGTCGAAAAAATATATAATTAAGTCATCTTGTTTTGCCATTTCTAGAAGACAATACATGCGAGAGAATATAGGACGAAAACTGGATAAAGGAAAAGAGAAAAAACAGGACAGTCGACAAAGATGCCTTTTCCTAACATACGTTTTATTCGAAACTTCGTACATATACAAAGTTACCGGTAACTGATAATCGTGTTTTGTGTACTGTTGACTAATTGAGTCGCGTTTACTTCCTTTTTTCTTTCAAACCCAGCTTTTATTTATCGATTCCAATACGTTTCTATGAATCATTAATACTGTGCATAGATATTGCAGATATATATGTGAAGTTTAGTCTTCGAGGCTAGGCTAGAAGCATTATTTACCAAAAACTATATACGTATGTCTACTGATACATCTGTTCAAAACAATTCAAGGATTCAATCAGAACATTATGCAATTAAACGAGTACTATCTTGTACTAAAACTTTCATCAAACGACTGATTGTACGTAAATCAATGAAAATATTACAAGCTGAAATTGATACACGAAATGAATTGAGACGTGATCTAAATTGGATTCAATTACTTGCTATGAATCTTGGTGCTACTATTGGTGAGTGAGTTTGAAAATAATACGTGTGGTAAGAGTTTTGAATGGCTTTTTCAGGTGCCGGGATATTTGTATTAAGTGGACAAGATGCTGCAAAATATTCTGGTCCATCGATCATCATTTCATTTATTATAACAGGCGTTATTGCTTTATTGTCGTCTTTATCCTATTCAGAATTAGAAGCGACGATGCCTAGTTCTGGATCAGTTTTCACATATACTTATGCAGGTCAGTTACTGATTGTATATGTATTTTGCTTTCATGAACACTTGTCTTTTTTTTATTGTTTTAGCCTTGGGAGGTATACAATCAAAAGTATTGTTATAAGTGATTCGTTTTTTCTTATTCATTGTAGAGTATTTGGCATAGTTTATTGAATGGAATTCCGCATTACTTTATCTATTCGGTGTTTTGACAATGACAGTTGCTTGGAGTAAGTATGTTGTCCTATTTATTGGTACTGTGTCTGATTATAATGCAACAAGCATGATTGTCGAAGCGCCAGTGACTTGGAACAAAGACGCGGAACGTTTTTTCGTCGCTGGTCAAGCGATTAATTTATCTGCTATTGGGATTACTATTGCTATAACAATTCTTCTTATTATTCGAATTCGTCAAACGGTCATAGTCAATCTCGTGTTGGTTGTGATTAAAATCATTATACTTTTAATATTTATTTTTGCCTGTTGTAAATATGTAGATCGCAATAATTATTATCCATTTTTCCACCAAATAAAGGTGCATGATTGTCTTATTAAATATCTAAGAAATGAATGAATTTTGTTGTGTCTCTTAGGTTCGTTTAGTGAATATGGAATAACAGGTATGCTGGAAGCATGTACTTATGTTTTCTTCGTTTATGGGGGTTTTGATTCAGTTTCAACAGTAGAACAAGAAGCAAAATCACCAGAGAGATCGCTGCCAATTGCCACTATCGGATCAACAGTTGTTTCACTACTACTATATATTGGAATATGTACTGTTATGGTTGGACTCGTTCCATGTAAGTTATTAGATACATATAGTCCTCTTTCTGAGGCAATGTAAGCCATGACTAATCGGTTAGAGAATATGAGTAGTATTCATTGGGTGTGGGTGTGGGTGGATGTGGATTTGGGTTTGGGTGTGTGGGTGTGAATATCGTTTGTTTTGTGAGCATTTGTTTGCCCACACACGCACACTCACCCACACGCACGCCCTCAGTGATTCAACACTATTATTAAGTGTTGCCTGTGTTTCGATTGTCATAAGAAAAAAAAGTATTCAATATTTTGAAATTGTTAGCATTGAAGATGTATAGAGGGTGAGAGAGAAGGAATGTGTGCAAGTCACTTCAATGTCTAATGGATGCAGAATAGGTCTAAGACAGTTCCATATCAGTTTCGATCTTGAGAACTGTCCGTGCCAGTTCTTTGATAGAAACTGATCTGTCCCTACCAGTTCTTTGCTTCTTAACTGATCTGTTCCACCAGTTCTTTCCTGGGAACTGATATTTTCCTATCAGTTCTTTGACAGGAACTGATCTGTTCTACCAGCTTTTTTCATAACAACTATCCTGTGGGGTGCCCATAGGTTCTCAAAGGCTATACTATGGGAGACTCTTAGGTCCTGAAGAGCTATTCTATGGGGGTACCCTTAGGTCCTCAAGGGCTATCCCATGACGGGTATTCTTAGTTTTTCGGAAGCTTTTTCTATCGACCAATCAGATATATGAGAGCTGTTTCTTCGTTATTGTAAGGACAAAGCATACTGTTAATCGGATCATAAGAACGATAACCGCGGATAACCCCTTGATCGGCCCGAATAACACTATGTCTTGCAACTATAGTAGAGAAAAAAGCCCGTTGGAATCTAATTGATCCTCAATTAGCCAATCACATTTCAGGAAGGCCTTTCTGCGCTATCGTGAGGACAAATGATGTTGTTGTTCGGGTGGATCAGTGGATTATCCGTGGTCATCTTTTTTATAACCCGAATAACAGTATGCTTTGTCCTTACAATAGCGGAGAAACAACTTCGTTGAATCTGATAGGTTGATTGAAAAAGCTGCCGACCAGCTAAGGGTACCCCTATATGTAGCCTGTGATAAAGTTTTGAGCAGCTCCAGCTCCCAGGAACTCTTCACCAACTTTCTGATGCAGCTTTCGCGAGCTGTGGAGCTGGAACTGCCACACACCTAATATTAACTGGTCTCTCTCAACAGTTTTTTGATAGTCACTGATCTATTTTGAAGTTATTTTGAATGAGTTGATGCTATGAAACATCTTATTTCGGCCTTCCCATTAGATTTGTAATTGGTCCATTATGAGCCATGCTTGTCAACTGCACAAATATGCTGGAATGAAGCTAAAGGAAACTTAATGCAATAATAGAAGTGTCAGATTCTCAAAAGACGACCTAGTCCCTAGGATGAGTTCTAAAAATAGAAGTCTTCCAAGGCATAGTTTCCAAAAAAGAACTGATTACTTTACGCAGTTCTCGAAAAGGGAACTGGTCACTTTACCCAGCTCCTGGAAAACATGCAGTTCGTAGAATTGGGAACTGTTCTAGGTTTAATGCAGAACAAAAAGGTGTTTGTTAAATACAACAACTGGGGAGCAGAGTAATGATGTTTTTTTGTATTCAATGTCATACAAAGACATTCGCAAATCAATTAGGATGTGATTGGGTGTGGGGTGTGTGGTGTGGGTGTGAGTCTTGTATTCTGCCACACCCATATCCACAAGCACACGCACGTCCAAACACCCACACCCAGACCCAACACCCAAAAGTCTTCACACATGAAAACAAATGCAACATTTAACGATAGTTAGTACAGTAAAGCTCGTTAAAAATAAAAAAACTCAGGAAACGTCGTTAAAAGTCTTTAGATATCAAAATGAGTGGAACATTAAATGAAATGTAACTATTGTCCATTTCAAAATATAATGTGCTCCACTGTTTTTTGAATGATTTGAGAATGCAAGTAGCTACAGCCCTGCGGTTTTCACCAACCGAAAGAGGAGACAGGGGTACGTCTTTGTCTTCAATATCGTATAGGACGAAACCATTTTGAAATCGATCATTTCTGCAAAAGACTAAACAAAATACATGAAAACGATATGTCATTCCGATGAAATTTTTGTTTTGACACGTGATCTAGATAGAGGAACTTCATATCTATAGTTCAAGGCATCATTGGATTGATTATCTTCCCATATCCTAATGTTGACCAAATAAAATCGTCTATTTACTCACACGAAAACAGTGAATTTCCTTTGATTTTCAAGCAAATTTTCTTACTTTTTGTCAAAATTTCATCTGAATAACAGACTGTTTTACACATTTTTTCGATGTATTGTAGAAATGATCGAATTTAAAATGATTTCGTTTTATACAATGTTGAAGAAAAAGACGTGCCCCTGTCTCCTCTTTCGATTGGTGAAAACCGCAGGTCTCTAGCTGCTGATGTTCTCGAGTTATCAAAAAACAGTGAAGCACATTATATTTTGAAATAGACAATAGTTACCGTTAAAAAGATAATCACGCGTGAAAACTAAAAAATCTAACGCGTTTTTACCAATTTCCAACATTTAACGAAAGTTCATGAACGTTTCTACATGAGACGTCGTTAATTTGTCTTTTAACGTAACTTTTGGCGTTAATTTCAACGCTCACTTCGTTAAATGCCTTTTTTAGTTTTACATGGATTACTTTACTATATGAGTTGCAAGGAGGGTCCAAATTTTGCGGCAAACAGTTCAGTTTTGGTTGAGTTATACAAATTATATGATTAAAAAAGTAGATTCATGTACAGCATGACATTCATTTAAATTTTCTTTGAAATTTTTTCTTTAAAAACGTTTATGACCCCAACCTCGTTTACTTCTCAAATTATTTCTCCCTATTTCTCTTGCGTATCTAATCAAATTTGTTCAAATGCAATTTTCTTAAACAAAATGTCAATAATTTTTATTTTGCTCCACATTGTTTATTGTAAAAATATCACTGCATACTTTGTTAGTAAAAGTAAATTTTCTTCAGAGTGAAGAAGAATTTTAGCTTGATTCTTTTGCGATATTCCGCTGCTACATGAGTTGCGAAAATCCTCCAATTTTTGTGGTGAACGCTCTAATTTTCATTGAGTTATAGGACTAACAAAATTGAAAAAGTCACTCTACTTGAAGCTTGAAAGTCATTTTTTTCAACGTTATGTAAACTTTTTGTATTAAAAAAGTTCATGAAACAAACCTCTTTTACTTGTAAAATTATTCTTCTCGTATTTCTCTTCAGTACTCAATCAAATTTGATCAAGTGAAGTTTCTCCAAGCGAAATCTCATTGATTTGAATGTCGCTCTATACAAAAATTGAAAATGTCTTGATGCAAAATTCTACAACTCTAGCTGAGAAAACAATTTAAAAAAAATTACAATGGAATAAAAAAGATATTGGTTGACTTTGGACAATTGGCGTTGGAAGCTATGTACTTCACCTGTCGTTATAGTTTTTCAAAAACTAAAGCAGATGGAAACTTGATTTTTTTCAGAAGTGAATGACCATCTTCAGACCAGTAATGCAAAAAAAATTATCAAAACTGATTGAGTAGAACTTCACTTGTCGACATTTTTCTTTTCGGGATACAACGAAATATGACCGTGCTTTTCACTCACATAGGTATATGTATGTGCAGACCGTTAGGCAGACTTGCAGACGAGAAACAACAGAAAGAAAGAGAAGAGAAAAGTAAAAAGAAAATACACATGGAAGTCAATATAATCTGATACTATCATCACGTATCATAAAAGAAAGTTATCGAAATTTCATTGTTATGATATCGAAGAATGATCAAATACCATAGAAATACACAACATTGCTTTTACTATCACCGGATGCAAAGAGAAAGTGTTCTCTTGCTTTCTATATGGAAATAAAGTACCTTCGTCACTATTTTTGGGTAGTTTTAAGTATCTTTTAACTTTTCGACATTTTTTTTTCGGTCTATTCTCTTACGCCATTTTTTCTGCCTCTTTTGTTTCCACATTTTTTCCTATCTTCTTCTCTTCAACATTTGTTTTCAAGGAGATAAAGCAGTAGAAAATAAATAAGAACAAAATAACTAAATCACCGCCGTAAATAACATATTTTTATTTGAAACACAAAATAAAATAATATTTGAGCTTTATTCTAAGCACATCGTCAGAAATGACCATTTCGAGCAATATATTCAACTTATATATTGAATCGAAAGAAAAAGCAAAAAAAGAATCTCACACTATTGAGAGATAAATGAAAAGAGAAAAGTGAGTAACGAAGTGGCGATCATTCTCACACTGAGAACGAAAGAGAACAATTCAATGTCGCATATAGCATCTCTTCATCTCTTTTTTCCTCCATATGGTGAATGTTGTCCTGTGATTGTTCTTTTCTTTTTCCTTCTGTTCGATATATAAGTTGAATGTATTATTCGAAATAGTCATATCTGACGATGTGCTTAGAATAAAGCACGAAAGCTCGAATATTATTTTATTTTATGTTTTGAAATTTAAAAATAAGAACAACAAATAAAATAATAAGAAAATAATAAATAAAAACATAAAAACAACAAAAAAATTAAATATAAAAAAAGAGAAAGAAAAACAAGAAATAAAAAAGAAAATAATAATTAAAAAACAAAAAATAAGGACAACAACTAATAAAAAGAGAAAAACATATAAATAAATAGAAAGAACAATAATAACCAAGAATAATAATAATAACAAATAAGAAGAGAATCGAAAACAATAAAAATATAAATATAATTATAAATAAAAAGGAATAACAGTAGCAGAGAAAAAAGGAAAATGATAATAATAATAAATAATAATAAAAAGAAACATACAACTATAAAAACAAAACGAACATATACATACCCATAAAATCATCCCAAAAAGCAAACAACTAAGTCATCATCTTTCTTCTTCATAAACATTATTAACTCAAACCTTTATTCAAATAGAACACACCAAAAAATAAAATATGTAGTATGTTTCGTACTCTGCGACACGAGGTGCTCGTTGGGGCACATTTTGTTCAGCAAAGGCACGTCACATTTTTCTACGACACATGCGACACATTCTCAAACCCTGGTTCGAATCTATTATTCCCACCTTATATAAAATTGTCGCGTTCTGTCTGCTGACT